AACCTGAAAAATAAGAAAAGATTAGAACCAAGTGAAATTCAGTGAGCATAGACAAGATTAGATATCATTCAAGATTTCATGATGCAGTAACTATTTCCCTATTGAATGGCAAAGGCAGAATCAACACAAATCATAATAAAAAGAGAACTACACCAAAACAAATCTTTTGGAGAACAAAATAATTCAGGAACTGCGGAGAGCCCCAGCAAAAAAGTCCTTCTGATTGTCCTTGGCATTTGATATGGTTTGGTGTCCTCTTTTTGCGCGGAGAGCTCTCAACAGAAACAAATAGCGAAAATTATGCAATTCTGGTTTCTACCCTATTAGAAAGTTCTGCAATGTAAACACCAACAAAAATCAACAAAAAAAAAAGAAGAAAAGATTAGGAGTAGACTCCAAGGAAAAAGAAGCAGCAGCAATAGTACAGAAAGACCAATTTTTTTTTTTTTGCCAGTGAGTGAGTTGGTGCACAATCCACGGTAGTGGGGAGAGAAGAGGAAAAAACCCTCTGGAAAATCCGATGAGCGACTCTTCGCAGCAATAGAATTAGAGCCCAAATAGAAAGGAAAAAAAAGTAGAAAAAGTAGTGTATATAGAACAATGTTCAAATCTTGTCTAGCACCACGATCTATGATCGATCAAGATTAGAGCCCCTTCCTCTTCTCGTTACTACTCTTTATCTTCGTCCCCAACAGTCTCACCGGTGAAGGTTGCAAAATCGAATCTATGGACTCAATCGACAAACGTTCCGACGATAAACTTCAACAACTCTGCACGGATGTTATGGTGATTAGGCGGCGGCAATTCAATTTTCAAGGTGGTCTTTAGCGGCAGTTTGATTTTTAGCCGCAGCTATAGTTTTAGTCGCGGCGGAGGAACTGCGGTTCCAATTCGTGTCTGTAACAATTTTTTATATATAATCCTTCGGTCCCAAAAAATGGTGGGGGTATCAGCGTAAATAGAGATCTTAAAAAAGAGGGAGGAGGCTAAAAAACAAGAAGGAAAAAAGGAAAGATGAAGCGCAAGTATAATCTGTGGTTATTTTTTTTCGGGGATTCAAAAAAATTTCTTTTTAAAAAAAAACATTGATACAAAAACGTCGTCGTTTTCACTGTTGGGAATAAAATCAGGGTATAAAATGACGTTTTTTTGATATTTGGGGATTTTTTTTTACCCAAAATTCAGATTTTTTCTCATTCATTAATTTGAAATTGAATTTATGCATTCTCCTTTTTGCCCCCAATAAGTCGCTGACGTCATATCAAGGCTATCCGACGTACGAGATCAATTTGAAGGTGGCCCTGAATATTTCTTGGGCATTTAATTTTTTGACTATTGTGCCTTTATATTAAGTATAAGTATAAGGATAAGGATAAGGATTAAAAAAAGATCAAATTCAAAAATTCGTACAACCAGTAAATATGAAACATTGATGTCGTACTACTATTACAACCAGTACATACTAGGCTTTTCTCGTCCCGCGTTGCGCGACCAGTCTTCTTATTTGTTGTTTTCTTTTTTTATCTTGTTATTTCTTATTGTATCTATATTTGTAGTTAATAGTGTAGATTAAATTGTGATGAATAACATATTGTGCCAATTCGGTCGCGAATAAAAGGCACAGTAGTCAAGAAATAATACCCAAGAAATATTCAAGAACCACCGTCAAATCGATCTCATCCGTCAGATGGGGTTAATATGATGTCATTGACTTATTATGGGTAAAACCGAGATTTCATAATTTATTTCCTTCTAATAAATAATACAAAATCTGAATTTTTGTTTCTAAATTTTATTCCCCTCAGTTAAAAAATAGCACAGGTTTTAGGGAAAAATCCCCAGGCCAAGAAAACGACGTCGTCGTTCCTCCCCTCCCCCCCCCCCAACCTATATGATGGCTGCATAAGCTCTTCTACTCCTGATTGATGACAACTCCTTTTCAAACCACCACGCCCATTGAATCGGTTATTCAATCTCGTACATAGTCTTTATTCTCGTCGATTGAATCGCAATACCGATTAAATGAATCAAACTTGGAACCTGGATCCTCCGCCGCCCTCCAAGGTCTCCTCATCGTTTTCCACCATCCTTTGCGGACCGTAGCCGCCGGCGAAGGTGGTAGAAACCAAAGATTGAGGTTCGGTGGTGATTTTTCTACTCCAATCTCTTCAATTTTGAGGTAATTCATGCAGGTTGTTCATCTTCTCAACGGATTTATATTGATTTTTTTAACTAATTTTTTATTAATGGGTTTCTGATTATATATGATTCTTTTCCTGAGCTTGTGTTGATAAAAGTAATTCGGAAGATGATCTGAGTTATCTTTTCTTTTGGCAGTGAGAAGTGCCAGTGTGGTTTCGTGCTTGATCTTTTCTTTTATCTCATTATTTTTTATTGCATCTATATTTGTAGTTAATAGTGTAGATTAAATTGTGATGAAGAACATATTGTGAGATATGTTTGTGAATAAATGTAACGGTAATAAATTTTTGTCTGTACTATTTGTAGTAAAAGAAACATCAATATGTAGGTAGTGAAGGACTAAAGAATTTAATAATTAAAAATAAATAAAAATACTTGTGCCGTGATATTTCTTACTGTTCGGCGAGGTCGAAGACCTCTTTGTAGACCATGTTTCGAGTCTTGTTGTTGTCCTGCAACACCTCATCCAACGTAGGAGGCATTGCTAGGACATTCACCGACACTGATGTCTTGGCTCTGGATAGGGCGAAATACAGCTGTCCATGTGAGAACACCGGCTCGCACAGATACAAGCCGACGTATTCGAGCGTCTATCCTTGTGACTTGTTGATGGTCATTACGAAGCAAAGCTTGATGGGGAACTGGAACCTCTTGAATGTGATACCCTGTACGCCGATGTCGTTGCATTTGAGGGGGATCCTCAGGATGAACACCTTTTTGCCTGTATGCGGTCCGAAAGCGATCTCGGTTGTGCACAGCAATCGAGTTCCGTTCGAGAGACCTTCTGTCGGGTTCAGATTACGAAGGAGCATTATGGGACTGTTGTATTTCAGTACCAGCTTGTGAGGGGGCAAGCCTTTCGGATTGCGAAACTTTGTCACAGGGCTGCGAATTATAGATGGTGTTGACAGACCACTTAGATTATTTTGTGACAATAAAGTAGCTGTTGAATTTTCTAACAATAATAGGAGCTCTACCAAGTCTAAGCATATAGACATTAAGTACCTAGTTGTTAGAGAAAGAGTTCAGAATAGTCAGATTTCTATAGAGCACATTGGAACAAACTTCAATATTGCAGATCCGTTTACCAAGGGTTTACCACCCAAAGTCTTTCTTGAGCACACTGCTCAAATGGGTGTTCTTTTGTCTTAGAATATGTCAGATCAGTGGGAGTTTGTAATTTATGTTTTGTTTATGGATATTTGGTTTTAATCTTTGCAAAGATAAAGCATACAGTTTAAAGTTCTAAAGTTTCATTTTAGTGTGCTTACATTCTGATTTTATATTTGATCTCACTAAAGATTAAGTAGGACCAATTGGAAATAAGCATGTTACAGATCACGTTACGTGAAATTTTCATGCTACACATCCACACTTGATCCATGTCATTTAGTTATATTAATATGCGTGACCACTGATGTGTTTAGTTGTCATTTATGTAACGACTGTCCCTTTGATCCTATGCTAATATAATTAATGGACGAGATTGTTTAAGTTATTTTATGATAGCAAATTATGTGCGCTCTTAAGTTTACAGTGTAATATACAATTATAAAGAATATGTTTGGTGTATAGTCCAAGTGGGAGATTGTAAGGTTATTTTGGACTTATACACTAAACATGTAATTGTATATTATATACTATCATAAAATATACCCCAATTAAAATGATCTAAATTATATTAACTAAAGTTTTGGGCTAATTATTAATTAAGTTAAAGTTATAGATATCACTGTGTAGAAACCTAAAAGACCAAGGTTCTCTTTACCCAGTTAAAGAAATAATCTGGAAGATCAAACCAAACCTGAAGAAATTATTCATCCGCAATGGATTCAGGTACGCTTCCGCATTAGTTTGGTTCTCGTTATTTAATCTGGAGTGTTAGGTTAAAGGATTTAATCCTACAAGATGCAGATTTTTCATTTATTTATTATCGGAAAAGCAATTACATCCAAATATTTATTCAATATTTATCACCAAATAAACTTGATATCACCTCCAATATGTGTATTACTTACAAAAATTCTTGCAACTTTTTCCCTCCAAACCATTTTATGTGAAAGACTCGTTTGTATACCAATTTGTATTAAAATGAAAATTTAAATTGTACATTCATTTTAAATGAAAGAGTATAATACGAAAAATTTTGAATGTATTCTTATTTTTAGTGCAATTATTACTCTCTTTTTTGTTGTTAAAATTCCCATAAAATTTATCATAATTTTCACCAAAAATTATTATTTTGCTCTATTTATTGTGTCTAATAATAGCGCACCAAATATTTGTATAACACACACAATATCATTCACAAAATCCTTTCCGAGATATTGGCTCTTACCAATAAAAATAAAAATCCCAAAAAATTAAGAACTACATCCGTAGTTTTTTTGTGGTAATACAGGTAACCGGAAGCAAATCAAGTAATCAACCCACTTTCACACTATATCCCAATCACGTTTCCCACGTAATCTGACCACTTTCCAGTTTTTCTCCATTAAAAAAAAAAGTTTCAAAAAAAAGAAGCAGACAGAATCTTTCACTCCCCAATGGTACTCTGTCTGCTTCCTTTAAAGTTTCTTTAAACTGCAACAAATAATGCACTACAGTAGCTCTTCTGGGTTCAGTGGGGATAAATTTGAATTGAATACCAGCAAAAAATTCAATCTTTGCGGTTTTTAGTTGATGGGTTTCTGATTTTCATGCCAGTTTCAGAATGATGGATGCAAGAATTGGGTGGTTGGGTTTGTTAATGCCGGTGTTATTATGGAGTATTGTTGGCAAAGGCGTTGTTGTGGCAGTGGGGAAAGAAGAGTATATGAAATACAAGGACCCAAAGCAACCTGTAGCTGCCAGGGTGAAGGATCTTTTGGGTAGAATGACTTTGGAAGAGAAGATTGGGCAGATGGTTCAGATTGATAGAGGTGTTGCCACACCTGATGTCATGAAAAATTATTACATTGGTAATTTTTCTTCTAGCTCACCTTTTGTGGCTTTTTTGCTTGTATTTGCACTTTAATAATTGTGAGAACTGTTTCTTCTCCTTCTTCTTTCTATTCCTCTGTTTCCCTTTAAAAATGTGTTATATGTAGAAGGAAAAATGAAGCTATATGGTTATCTCGGAATGGGATAAATGATGATGGAAATGCTCTTTTTGTGCTGTTGTGAAGTAAGAAAATAAGAGAGCCGAATGTAAGATTATGTGAAAGATGTTTGGCTTTGTTTATGAAGAGTGGATTGAGGTTCAAGGTGTAAACAACCTTTCGTTTTGTTGCTTTTCTTTCTGGTTGAAAGAATCAGTTTTTGGCTTCATACATTCTTTTTAACGTATCTTCTGGTTGGGAAACCACGACATGAAATTGCAGCCTAGGTTTCTGGGAATGATTATTCCAATGTGCCAAGTATTGTGAAAATTTGATGTTCTTGGTGCTTCTGTTTACATTTTGCATATTGCATGTTCTTCATGAATCATTTCCCCTTTGAATTTGCTAATCTTAAATGAGAATGTAGTCTTTGACCTGTATTACAACTTCTGTTAATGTAGAGCACAAAGATAATACAAGAGAATGCGCAACCTACAACCTGTATTGTAATATAATGAAGTACTCTTTTAGTCATTTCAATCTGCCTGTTCTTTTATTCCATTTTGTTGAAGAGCCTTAACATTGGCTCTATTAATTTGTCTGATATTTTCATCCCTGTATTTTCTTCTAGTTAATTGTTGCATTTGTATTCAATTTAGTTACTGAAATACTTTTAGGAAAAAAGAAAAAAAGGTATGGGTGAAAGGTAGAAGTACACTGATATATGTTATCCTGATGCAGGGAGTGTGTTGAGTGGTGGGGGGAGTGTGCCATTGCCTCAGGCTCGTGCTTCAGATTGGGTTAACATGGTGAACGACATTCAGAATGGATCATTATCCACACGTCTTGGGATACCTATGATATATGGGATCGATGCAATTCATGGACACAACAACGTAGTCAATGCAACTATCTTTCCTCATAACATTGGCCTTGGTGCTGCAAGGAAAGTAATGTTTTACGTTAGTTAAGTCGCGCATTTATTGGGGGACAGTCATATTCATATGTTGGCACCCTACTAATATTAGATATCCTATTGCTCTTTGGTTTGCAAATTCAGAGAGCTAGAGACATTAAACTCTTTCTTTAAGTGGTGCTACACTGCTACTTTTAGAATTTTGGTTAAATCGTTGCTTCCACTGATTTCAATATGCCTTCTTTATGCACGTTATTAACAGTTAAATTAACTGCAGGGATCCTGAACTTATGCTGAGGATTGGTGAAGCAACCGCTCTTGAAGTCAGAGCAACTGGGATTCCTTATACCTTTGCTCCTTGCATTGCTGTAAGTCATTATTTAATCTTTAATGCACATTTACACTATACTGCCGGAAGAATTATTTAGTACATATTACACTTTGACATTATTGATGTTCATGTGTAAATTTAAGTGGCTTTCTGAGTGTAGGTCTGCCGAGATCCTCGGTGGGGTAGATGCTATGAAAGTTATAGTGAGGATCCAAAGATCGTTCGAGAAATGACAGACATCATTGTTGGGTTGCAAGGGGAAATTCCCAATGGTTCACGAGTGGGTGTCCCATATGTTGCCGGAAAGTATGACCTATAAAGTTATTCCTTCTCTGGCTTGATAGAACTAGTTATACTTTTCTGAGCAGTAGTAGTTTTTCAGGATGCTAATGGTCCTGCACTTCTCATTCTCTTGCTTGCTTTCTTGCTTAGGAATAAAGTAGCTGCTTGTGCAAAACACTTTGTTGGTGATGGGGGCACTACTAAGGGTATCGATGAGAACAACACCGTGATCGACAGACATAATTTGCTTAGTATTCACATGCCTGCCTATTATGACTCAATCATTAAAGGTGTCTCCACGGTTATGATTTCATACTCCAGCTGGAACGGTAGGAAGATGCATGCAAACCATGAAATGATCACTGGTTTTCTCAAAGACAGCCTAAACTTTAAGGTTTGTCTCAGTTCAGCTACATAGTTTTATCTTCCTTTTAGTGAAAAATTATTGAAGATCTCAAAAATGCAAGATAGGAGATGAGACATTTACATATTGAATGGAAGAGGTTTATAGATTATAATCACAGTCCCAAGCTTCATTGTTTTCTTTCTTGCTCTAGATATTTATTATGTGATGATTGGGCTTCTTGTAGAGTAATGCATTGATGTTGTAAATAGAGTTATGAGAAGAAATGTGTGAATGTCATATTATACTTTTAGCTATGGGCATCTGCAATGTATTTAAATCAGGTTTCATTGAGGGTGCAAAAAGTAAGTAATCTGGGATTCAGGAGAGATCGAAAGGGTAATACAGAGGTTTGGTGACTGAGGGAAGTAGTCAAAGAATCCAGGGCAGTTGTTACCATTTCCATACAATAAAGTGATGCCAACTTGTTTATACTAATGAAATTGATGTAATTTTGTTTTTTCTGCATCAAAGCAATTTTCTGGAAGGCATGCTCCTTATAGTTTTGCAAAATGTAGCTTATAAATATAGATCAATTTAGTTCGGAATCTTTGTGGTAGCATGAAATGACATAATACTATTGTTGAGTTTCCAGGGTTTCGTTATCTCAGATTGGGAAGGCATTGACAGGATTACCACTCCACCACATGCAAATTACACTTACTCCATTGAAGCCAGTATTCTGGCAGGCATCGACATGGTGAGTGCTTCCGTTAATAATGTCATCTCTCTACCAGTTCAGGGTCTATTTTATTTACTCCGGTGTTCCAAGAAACCAACTTGATACTTTTGTACTACTTGCAGGTTATGGTTCCTTATAATTATACTGAGTTCATTAACGGTCTCAGTCACTTGGTTAAGAAAAAGTTTATACCAATGTCTCGCATTGATGATGCCGTGTCAAGGATTTTGGTAGTAAAGTTTACCTTGGGACTTTTTGAGAATCCTCTTGCTGATCTTAGTTTAACAAATGAACTCGGAAAACAGGTACTGCAATCTTTTTGGAAGTGATCACCATTTATTTTGCTTCTTGTACTTCACCCTTTTTATGCATGCATTCAAAGGTTATTAGCCCTAGACTTTCTGACTTCAGCAGATTCATTCTGCCATGTTTCTTGCATTGTTAAAGTTGTTATGATTGATGAGAAGAAGGAAAGAAATCTCAAATCGTAATTTACTTGGACAGAAATTGGTAAAGATTCTAAAACTCAATGAAAAGTGTCTGCACTTCATTCTCAACAATCATATACTCTTTGTTTTTATCTACTCCTTTTGGACACTTCTCCTACTAAACCATTTATGCAGTGTAATTGGAAGTTATTAACATTGCCCAGAAATGAATTGTTTTTCTTTTTTTTTTCCTGTTTCTTTATCTGGTTTTCGTTTGAGATGTATGCCTCCTAAACACAAATTGTTTTATGTCAAGTTTATATATGTAAGTATGGAAAAGGTTTTTGGTTTTACAGGAGCACAGGGATCTGGCACGGGAAGCAGTAAGAAAATCTCTTGTTCTGCTGAAGAATGGAAAAAACGAGAGTAATCCTTTAATTCCCCTTGACAAGAAGGCAAAGAAAATTTTAGTTGCTGGTAGCCATGCAGATAACTTGGGGTACCAATGTGGTGGATGGACAATAAATTGGCAGGGATTCAGTGGCAACAAAAATACCAGCGGTATGTAAGCAAGTGTTTGATCCTTAGATTGTCATGCAGGGTACTTGCAAGTGCTACAATTCTATTAATTGGATGTAATCATTTAGTGGAACCTGTGTAAAGTGCTTCAAGTTTGATGTGGACCAAGACTTTGCTGGAAATAACCGAAAGCTGAGAATCGGATTTAATAATAAAACTACAAAGAAATGACTCTGGTAGGAGACAAGATAACCATTCTCCCCTAATCAACAATGAACACTTTTGAAATCTTTCAGAAAGGTAGTTCACATTTGCTCAGAGATTAGAGTACAAAGGTATAGATTTTGGAATAGCAGAAGTGGTCTTTGAGTTCCAATTAGCTAGACAAAGCTCCCAAATTGATGGAACTTGCTGTATAATGGCAGGTTTTTGTTTAAATACCACGTTAAGGGTATTTTAACATCAGCAGCTATATGCATTTTAGTGATTTCTGCAAGTTGATGTTACCTTTAATTATGTTCTGCTGTTCTGTTGGTAATACCTAGCCATAATGTGTATTTCTTGAATAACTTCATTTTCCAGGCACGACGATCCTTGCTGCCATCAAGTCTACAGTTGACAAGGACACAGATGTCGTCTTTGTTGAAAATCCTGACAGTCAGTTTATCAAGTCTAACGACTTTAGTTACGCCATTGTTGTTGTTGGCGAAGCCCCTTACACGGAGACTGCAGGAGATAGCCAAACTCTTACAATGTTAGATCCTGGACCGAGTGCAATCACCAGCGTTTGTGGTTCTGTAAAGTGTGTTGTGATCGTCATATCAGGTCGACCTATTGTAATTGAACCATACCTGTCGTCCATAGATGCACTTGTAGCAGCCTGGTTACCTGGCACTGAAGGACAAGGTGTGACTGATGTCCTTTTTGGAGATTACAAATTTGCTGGAAAACTTCCTAGAACTTGGTTCAGAACAGTTGATCAACTTCCTATGAATATTGGAGATGCTCATTATGATCCCTTATTCCCCTGTGGGTTCGGACTCACGACTCAGGCTGTGTCGAGGTCAACATCTTCTGGCTTTGTTGAGCGGCCGTATGCATCAACAATTTTGATTGTTGTTCTCATTGGTTTGTATTTTCAGGGCAAATTATTAACTTGAGAAACCAGGTGAATAGTTTTAACTTTAGGGCAGTTTTATGCTTGTTCTTTTGGCCAGGAACAGTTAGAAACTTCTGTGTCAGTAAAATCTAGAGAACTAAAGTAGCCACTTGATCAAATAAGAGTTTCCATTCACATCTTCAATTATAGAGCTTCTCTAGGAATCGCTTGGTTCCTTTGTGTTATCTTCATAAGGTTTAAAGATTGAAGATGCAATTGGTTCTTATTCCGTTGCTAAAAGTTCAATTTCATCATTTATATTTCAACGTTCCACGTTTAGATTTAATCATTTAATTACAAATTCCGAGCAAACATTCTAAGAGTATAAACGTAATGGGTTGTAATTAGTGTTTGAAATGTGTGTCAATCATTATCTAATCAATATTTTCTCATTGTGCACCATTTAAAAGCAAGAATACACGGATAACTTCTGCAGTTGCTTCTTTATCCACCCGAAGAAGTCAGAAAAACTAGGGTCAGAGTGCATGCTTTAATGCAGCTTGAATGGATAAAATGGTCAGAAGGCCAAAAATAGTCCACATTTCTTTTACCACATTTAGTAATTAGCATTGGGCAAAAAATCTCTTTTACTTATAACTGTCAGAGAGGCTAAACTGAATAAACTTGGGACTATAAGAGCATGTTTATTACTTAGTGGCATTGAACCACGTGCCGCTTACATCATTGGAGAGAGTTGAGTAGTTGCTCTCCGTTAATTTCTGCCTTCCCTGCATGTTAAAAAATGGACAAGACCATTGTCTATTTTTATTGAATTTTTGAACTACAAAAATTAAAATAAAATAAGTCATAACCCGAAAAATATGAACCATTACTTTTAAGATATATAACTTCGAAAGTGATTGTGAATGGTGTAAAATATTAATGCAAACCTTAAAATTTATACAAAATTATTGAATTATGCAACATAAAATGTCACTAAAAAGTGGCATTCTCGCCATTATGTTAATATTTTAACTCCCGGAGCATCGTAAGTAAAAGTTAAAAATAAAAATAATAGAAAAAAAATCAAGGGGCTGAAATGAATTTTCCACCATTTGAAAGGGCTTCTAGGTGCAAATTATCTGTAGCATGTGTCTTCTCTGTTCTCACTGAAACTTTGGGCGCCAAAAAGAACAATTTCATAGTGCGAGAGAAGTAAAAAAAACACTTCCCGCGGGAAAGGAAATTAAGGGTTTTGGATCTGGGTTTAGAATGGAAGAAGGAGGTTGAGAGATGAGCAATTAGCAGGATATCAATAAGACTCTACCGTTTGAGTTACGTCCTTTGTCGTTCTTCTCAATTCTTCGAAGACGAAGAACCCAATTCCTGTTTGAGAATCGGCCCAGGTAAATATTGGCTAAGAGCCATTTCACCTTTGTGGATTTTACATATCATACACAAGCCCATGCTCTCTGCAATTTACTCATCGGTTGAACGTTTCGATTCATTTTCGGATGAATTTTTAGTATTCTGTGGAAATTAGGGATTTGCATTTCTCTTTTGTTTGATGCTAGAACTCAGTGGGTAATGGATATTGTGCATTTCGTATAGTGAGTTATGTTAATTTTCCCATTTTTGGTGGTATGATGATGGCAATTCTTTGAATTAAACTTTTGTTTCAGTTTCAGAGTTTGCAGATTTCAGTAGAAAATGGTTAGCGAGGAAAGTCCACAAATTGCTAGAAGAGCCACGAGATTATCCGCATCCAGTGGTGGTCCGAATGCCGAAAATGTGGAATCTTCAGAATCTTGTGCTATAAGGCCTTTGAATGTCAAAGACCTTGTCTATGGTCATCAATCTCTAAGCTTAAAAGAGTTGAGTACCAGATATCCAGGCAGGCACGCACAGATTATTGAACTGATGCGCTTGTTGGGTCCTTTGAATTCTCCAATGCTTCCGATATTCATATATGGAGGTTCTTCAACAGGCAAAACAAGTGTCGTTCTCAATACATTCTGTCATCTTCGCCGCCCTTTTGCTTATTCCAGCTGCATTACTTGTTATAGTCCTAGGATATTGTTTGAATCAATCTTGAACCAGCTGATGCTTCATAGGAAGAGCGAACAGAATGGATACTCGAGTGCCAAGCGATGCGAAAAGCCGTCTGATTTTGCTAATTTTCTAAGAGAAGCTTTGAGCTCTGTTCTAGATACTTTGAAGGAGAATGTGGATAAGTCAAGTTCTAAGAAGTCAGCTAAACAACTTAATGGAAAGATGGTTTATTTAATATTTGATAATGTAGACCTCATCAGAGAATGGGATAAGAGCTCTATTATATTGCCTTTTCTGTTTAAGCTTCATGACATTCTTAGGATGCCTGAAGTTGGGTTCATCTTTATCAGTGGTACTTCACCTGATACATACTACTCCGACACGGGCTTTACAGAACCTGTGCCTCTGTACTTTCCTGATTACACAGAGGATGATCTTCGCCAAATACTCTTGAAAAGTCAAGTAAACGCCAATTTGTACTCCTCATTTCTCGAGTAAGTGCAATATCTTGGAGCATCCTGACTTTATGTTTGTTTAGTAGCCAATTTGAGTGACATGTGATTATGTTTATTTTTGGATACAGTGTGGTACTGAGACCATTTTGCCGAACTACCAGACGTCTTGATGAATTGTCAACAGCATTAGCACCTCTATTTAAAAAGTATTGCGAGCCTCTTGGTGAATTGCAAGCTGTCCCTGATGAGGATATGAAGAGAAAATTGTTTGCTCATTTACAGAGGCATATTGCAGCGTCCCTGAATGAGATATTTAGGGTTTCATTAGAACCTACCTTGGACAACAATAAGCAGAACACTTTTAGAAAGTCGGGAGCCTGTGAATCTAAAGATGATATGGACTTCCATATGTCTATTTCCGGGAAATATCTACTTATTTCTGCATTTCTTGCGTCAAGAAACCCAGCCACTCTTGATGCATCTTTATTTGATTCAACTGGAGGCTCTGACAACAGAAAGCGAAAGAGGAAGTAAGTACTTCAGAGGTTCTATGTCTTCATGTGTGTTGTATCAAAATATCTTGTTGCATAGTTGCCTCACTTTTCTTTTCTATTACTGTTTTTATTTTTTATATATTATTTTTTTGGGGGTTTTGGTAGAAAGAGTGTGTGTTCAAAAATAAATGAAATGGCTTCCAAGTCCACGAGGTCCTTGCTGGATCTGAAATTGATTGTTGTACCTTCTAAGTATGGAAACATTATGTTAAGAAACAGTCCGAATGCAGATTCAATATAGTTCATCCCTGTAGAAATTGCAACTAGAATACTTTCCATCTAAAGAATTACAACAGTCTCCCCTTTCCCTGTTGTCATTATGGTCTTGATGTTTTCTGATGTCAAACTTTGCTAGTTGATTCTTTTTGACCGTGTGAAACCTGATAAACTGTGAAAGTTAGAGGCATTTTGGCTCTCTTCATGATTGCTGTCTATATATGCCTCTTCTAGCTTACAGAATATGTTTTCACTGGCTGCCAGTTTTCTTTTCATTGCACAATTTTGACTTTTTTTGTTTGCTTCATCAGACTCTCTTTATATTGTCTGATGATAAAAGTGCTTGTTGATTCTCTTTGGTTGTGTGAAACGCTAATAAACTGTGAAAGTGTTAGGGGATTTAGACTCTCTTTGTGATATGTCTATCTTATGGAATATGTTTTCAGTGCCTGTCGTTTCCTTTTGTTGCTGAATTTCGTCTATTTTCCATTTTCTTCCTGATAAAGATATTTTGCACTGATCTTCGTCCTTTATTGTGATCAGGAGCTCTGAGAAGTCATTGGAACTCAAGGAAAATGCCGAACAGGAAGTGCTCATGAAAGGGCCTGGAACTTTTCCTTTGGAAAGGCTATTAGCAATATTTCAGTGTCTCACATCTGTCGCAGATTACTCTCTAGATGAGGAAAGTCTGGGAGATGAAGGTGATACCAATCTCATGTCTGATGTTCTCTTGCAAGTATCAAGCCTTTGCAATGCTAATTTCATCACAAAGGGAGGAAGTTGTCCATTAGATGGTTCAAGAAGATATCGATCTAATGTGTCCGAAGATATAGCTTTGAAGGTATTCATCTGAATGCTGTTAGCTGCTGTCATCTGTTTTATTGGATCCTTTCATCTCAGATTGTGTTCTTATTTAATGTTGTCATCATTTGATTTCTGGGAATGACTGATAGGTAGCAAGGAGTTTGAAATTTCCTTTGTCGAAGTACTTGTACAGAAGATGATATTCAGCAATGGTTTCCATTTGCTTTAGCTCATTTCTGAAGGAGAAGCAAGAGAATGTCGGTTGCAAAAGAAAATTGTGCGTCTCGTTGTTTTGGATGAAACAGGATTTTCAGGTTTTAAGTTAAATTGACCTGTGAGCAAGGATATTCAGCAATAATGGCTTAAGGTTCAAAAGTGGTTGAGAGAAAGCTGCTGAGTTTTTTTTTCTTCGATCTGATATTCTTGTAATTTCAGGGTTCTTCTCTATCATTGATGGTCTCTTGTATTTATGCATTGAATACGCTCATATCTCTGGAAGAAAATCTGACACTGTTCAAGACAGAGATTACATGTCCGTTTGATGTATCCATTTCTTCTCTTGCCTAGTAGTGAACCTCAGTTTTGAGCATGCTTTGTATTGCTGGATTCAGTTCAGTTGGGGAACTGTGCAGTTTTTAGGCTTCTTAGCTTCTGATTGAATGGATGGATTTTGCCCATTTGTCATGATGTATGTCTAAACTTGGCTTAACTTGAAGCATTCACAAATGATGTTGGTTAAGTCGTGTGACTGTATTTGGAGAATTATCTTCTATTCAATGTCGAATAGAATCTGACCACCTCAATGAAAATTGTGACATGAAGATACGTTGTTGAGAGGATGATTGCACTTGCAATTTATGGTTTTGTAACAGTGGTGAAGGATCAAAACTGTGACTGTCCTCGCAGAATCAAGAGTTCTTTCAAGCTTTGTACAAAAATAACTCAGAAAACCTTGGAGCGTATCAGAGGAACAACTTAACGTGGATGGTTCGGTATTTATTTGCATGAACCTGGTTCTTATTGTTAGGTTGCAAGTACAGAACTTCAAATTAGTATCCTTCTTTAAGCAAAAATAACTACTCCCTCCGTCCCAAAAAAATAGTCCACATTGAGTTTTGAGTTTTGTATTGTTTTTAGTACAAATTTAAAAACTTTATGTGGATTATTTTTTTTGGGACTGAGGTAGTACTATTATCTTTTTAGATGTTGATTTGATCAGTAGTCTAACTCCATATCAATCATAATCATATGATTTGCTCTCCAGAAGCAAGCATAGATTCAAAATGTTTCTTTACTGGCGCGAATGACTTTATGTATTTTTGCCTTTGTGTGTGTGTGTGTGAGTGTTGAGACTTAAGGGTGTTGGATATAGAGCAAATTATGTTAGTATTCGAATTTCCAAATGAAATTGAGAAAATTCGAGGCTACTTCTTTCACTTTCCATCATGTCACTTCCATAGCGTCTCTGGAGTTTAAAAAAAGTGAAATATCTTTGCAGTTTGCACCACAGGTGATCACTATTCACCATGTGGTATCTTCACCATAGAATATACTGAAAGCTCACCGATTTTGTTTGAGTTGGATACTCTTTCTGGTGTGGTTGTTCCTGATGGTTGCAACATAAAAAGGCTCTAAGAAAGTTTTCCAACATCCGAAAGTTAAAAGTTTAACTATGTACGCAAATCTGGATATGATACAGAAACTCCACACAAGGTTGTAAGTTTTGTCTGTTTGAGGCAACTACAATCATTTCATGTGTTATGTAAAGGTATATTCCCTGGTTTGATTAAGTTTAGTTTAGCTGAAAATGCGAGAAAGTTGATGTTGAAGGGTATCGTTTGACTCAGAGGAACATGTCAACTATCGATGAACTGCCAAACATTCATGTCTTCTTGTTAAACTGTATCTTCAAAGGGGAGACATGGGAAATGACAGAAGGTGAATTCTCCCAACTTAAATTCTTGACGTTGAACTTCTCTAATGTCCATCAGGTGAACTGACTGTGATGATCTTTGTCTTCAGAAGCTGGTGTTGAAGGGTGTTGGAAGAGATTCCTTCTTGTCAGAGTACATTTCAACAGTTGAAATGATTGAGGTCCATGATATGGTCAGTCAAATTGAGGATGAACAGAAGAATTGGGGATCAATGGACATTTGATCACCAGTGATATATCTCCCATACCTGTATTGCTGATTGTCATTATTGGAATAAGACTGTAGCTGTCTATGTACTTCATCTTACTTTTAAGTAGACGTTTTTGCATCACATTTGAATGTGAACTAAAGGTGATGATATCTGTTTTGTAAGCAATAGATCCTCGTTTTGTTTTGTTCCAAAGATCTGAGTTGTACTATTTGTTTGAGCTTATGGTGGTGCATGTGGGATTATTGACTAACGCATAAGATGTTTCAACAGTCTGTTTTGCTGATAAGTCAATGCTGACTTATTTCCACATCGACAAAGGAGGATATCAATGATTTTACCATTTGTGCATTGGCTATCAATTGTGAAATGTTTCCAGCAGCTTTGCTGGTGCTTACCTTTCTTGTCTAGGAATGTAATCTTTCGCATTTGAACCATTTGCCGGTGTTTCAAGAGTGTTTAAAGCCTACTGAATGTCAGGACTGAGTTTTGAACTAAGCTAATAGCAAGAAAATTTGAATGAATTGATATTAGTTGGAGCTATTTTAGAGAAAGTGCGGAACTTTTCTTTTCCAACAGATGGTGTCATTGAACTCCCCCTCTCCCTCAGGAATTTCCACTTATTTCTATTCCTTCCTCTTCCCTGAGCCTGAAAAAAGCACTAAACTTTCTTTTCAAGATTCGCCCCGAGACTCGCACCCGATTATGGCCCTCAGCATTTCCCTCATTTCATTTAGTGTCAGTTTTGTTGATTCTATCAGTAACCTACGGCTTCTGTGTTGGGATTACAAGTAACAACAGAAAGGAGCTTCAAGAGCTGCAAGGTATACACAGATAATGCCTAACCGGCGAGTCTAAGAGGACAATAAAAGATAAGCTAGCCCTATGAAGTTATAGAACTGAGGACAGGACACTTTTAAGAAAGGACCCTTATCTAGTTCTCATAACTTAGCTACATACGCAATGTCTATATGCAATGAAATTTTTCTGAGTGTATGGATAAAAGAAGTCGATATTCAAATATGAAGATGTACAGATGAACCTATCTGTCACCAATTAACCTTTCAGCATCTTTAGCATTTGGTTCAATCAAGTATATATGAAGCATTCAAGAGTCATTAAAACTAATTAATAGACAGTTGGAAGTGAAGATGGGGTCTGCGTGTAGGATTGATCATCAGTGAAGTAAGACTTGCGACCTCCATTATCTTTTTCTTTTCTGATAAAGGACTGCAATATGGTCATCCATAATACCATGAACAACAAGACAACTAATATAACTTAATCTAAGAAGTACTAATTCTACTAACCCCATATCTACCCTACCACACAAGAAATATTTACCCAAAATCTCGGATAGTAACTATAGTCCTTGATGAAAGCTCAGATGGGTGCCGAACATGTTGTCCTGAAGTGCCCTGTCTGATTGCAACGGCTACAATGCACAACTCGCTTCTCACGGCCATGGTCTTCTTCTCAGATTCGCTTCTTCCTGAGGCGACCTGGTGTCCGAAGAGATTTAGGTGGATTGATAATTATCTCACTAAAATCCCCACTGCTTGGATCTCCTTCTTTTAACTCCTTCCATAATGTTTTGTCTGGTATTGGAAGAATCGTCTGTGAGTAAGTCTTCCGATAATTAGCAACAGTGAAACAACTTTCCGTAAACCGGTGCACATTCTGTCTACAAGACAGTAGTGCTGCTACAGCATGTGCACAGGGTAAACCATACAGCTGCCAGCCCCGACAAAGGCAGCAACGGTTTCGAATATCAACAATATTTGTTCCCTCGTTAGATATTACTTCAAATTCGGCTTCTTGCACGAAGAACCTGGTAAGTGCGGGCACGTTCTAGGGCTTCTGCTACATGCCTCTCTGCTGTAGGAACTAGAATTGATGTCCACTGCATGCTACTTTCCCGACGTTCATTGAACCAAGTCATAAGCTGTCTTCTAATGCATTCCAGCATCTGAAATGTTGGTAGTCCAGAGGCTTCTGATATCAAAGGATTTAGTTGTTCCACAATATTAGCTGTCAAATGACCGAACCTTGGGCTTTCGAAGTAAGCAGTAGCCCACAAGCGAGCAGGAACCTTACGTATCCAATATGCAGCATCTGGTGAAATTTCTTCAATCTCAAGTATTTTAGCTTCAAATTGGATTATTGTAAGAGCCTGAGCAGCCTCCCATAAAAGGTTTACCAGAATGGTGTTGTTAAACTCTTTACGAAAACTTTCAGTCAGGTGACGCATGCAAAATCCATGAAAAGCAGTTGGAAAGTTTGCTTCCACACCCTCTACAATGCCCTTCTGCCTGTCTGACAAAATTGTTAGTCTTGGCATGTTTTCAGCATTGACATCCAGCAAATTATGAAGTTCAGAAAGAAACCACATCCAGTTAGCTTCATTCTCCTCATCCACGACACCAAATGCCAAAGGAAATAGGCCACCATCACCATCAAATCCAATAGCTAGCAGTAAAGTGCCAAGATACTTACTTTTCAAGGAAGTCCTATCAAGCCCAAGGAGGGGCCGGCAAGCATTAAGAAAGCCGTATATTGATGCCTGAAATGATATAAATAGGCGCTCAAAACATTTATCATCTGAATTTGCGTACACAGATGCAATGCTCGCTGGATTAGTCCGCTTAACTTGTTCACAGTACTCAGGAAGCAGGCTGTAGCTTTCCTCAAATGGATCTCGCATAGCAGCCATTATTCTTTCCTTTCCACGCCATGCTTGCTTGTAGGATAAAGTGATACCATGTACTCGGTGAATTTCTTCCAGTATATCTTTTGGCTTGCAATTTGGGTTTTCCCGAAGCCGCTCCTCCACAGAATTAGCAACCCACTGCACCGAGGCTTGTTGAGGCCAAGATGAGCAATTCCTCCACATGTATGGCTGCCATGGATGGTCCTTATTGTAAAAGTAGGTACACCAGGAAGCTTTGCAGCATGAATTCTCCAAGGGCATCAATCAGAAGCACATTTTGCAGTAAAACGAGTCTTGTCTGATTTTATAGTCTGGATTTCAAAGTGAAGAGCAATAGCTGTGTCCCTGAGAGCTCTCCGACAACTTTGCACATCAGCAAATTCCTGTCCAAAATGCAGCTCAAAATCTGGACTTATGGCATGTGTACGTGCTTGCAGCACAGGGGTGGATATCATTATTTCACCATTCTGCTCATCCGTGCCATCTACAGGTTCAATCCCAGGTTCCCGGCTCTGAACCAAGGCTGCATCTACATTTTCATGAAGTTCTTCATTTTCTGAAACAGTAAATTCTTTGTGCTCCGACACATCTGGATCATTAGATTCTGCAGAAAGATCCATTTCCAGTACATCATTTGCAGCTTTCTGCTCAGATACTATCCCATTTTCATGTTGTGCCTCATCATCCGGATCATCATGGCTTGGCATCCGAACAATTTTGTCTTCTGCATCCACCAAACTCACATCAAGTTCAAGGTTCTGAGGCAGATTTGCACCATGACTATGTCCAACTAACATCTTTGGCTTCTGACCAAGAGCAACAATATGAGTCTTTTCCATTAACAATTCATGGCTGGCCATCTTATCTGCGATAAGGTGTTGGCAGCTTGCAGTGAGTTAACAAACTTAACAAGCCTTGAACTACGAAATGCAAACAATCGCTTCCCAATCATCAATTTATTTCAACAGCTACAAACTTCATAGAGAGAACACATAATCCAACATACAATTTACTAGCATGAATTAACTTTCCTTCCCAATGTTTTTATACAAATTTTAGGACCATGTATCATTTTCGAATGTATCAAAACCATATCTGACTTACAACCACCAAATATAAGTATCAAAAAGTGTCGAAATTCAGGGCAACTGAAACGAAACTAGCTCATCAGAAAGTAGAACAGAAACCTGCCATAGCTAAAATGAAAGAATTGCCAACAACAACTCCTCACCTGGCTCCAATGCTGACACCGATTCAAAGTCCTTAGCTTGAGATTAGTATATTCAGCTGCCAAAAAAGCCCCGCAATAATACAATTTTTCATCAAACCATTGCGCCTACTGCAATGAATCAAAGCGACCAAAAGTGAATCATTGGAAAATCAAAGCACTAGAAATGAATGAGTTAAAAAAGCTCCACAAAAAAAAAAAAAAACCCAGGAAACCCAAAGTCAACCAAATCGAATCATTGGAACAACCGAATCGCCCAACTCCAAAACTCCGATATTCAAATCATCCGAAACGATCATAAAACAAAAACCCATATGATGAGAATTTACAAACCTACATTCCCATCTTTGAAGAAAATAGCACACCTTCGAGTTCAAAGCCTTTTACAAGATCACAAGCTAGGAAGCTCAAGGCAAATGTGGCAACACTCCTCAACCTCACAATGCACCATGAAGAAGTAAAGATGTAGGCAACACCTCAATGGGTCAATTTCCTCCATTTCTGCCCAAGAAGAAGTTAACCAATTTTGAGCAGATTTAAGCCAATTCATATTACTCTTTTTTGGTCATCTTTTTCAACCATCTTTAAGATTTGAAGGGTAAAAGCAAGTCATGGTGTAATCCAAGTGAAGCCACTTTTATTGATAACTCATGGTCCAACTTTGCAGCCATCTTTGACCATGTTTTGAAGACTTAAAGGTGAAGAAATCCTAGGTAAATGATAGGCACCAAATTCTTCTAGTCAACTACAAAACAAGGAACCATCTTAGCATTACTTTTTATATTTTATTAAGCAAGTTGTCTAGTTCTTTTGTCCTTTAAACTCGAAAAAGAAACAACCATTTTGGGTAGTTTTTGGAAGTCATTGTTCATGTATGAACCCTTGAGAGGAAGACCCTTTCAGAATTCCAAACTTCTTCAAGTTTGGTAGCATAGCACGGCTTGTAGCTTGTTATGTAGTAAGCGTGCAATTTAGTTTATGATTTAACTAGATTGTGGAGCTTTTTGTGAATTGTTGAAATGGTTAAATTTTTCATGCCTTAGTTTGTTCAAATCTGATTCTCATCTAGTGTTTAAAAGGGTTAAGGTACCATTTAGGCATTCATATCATAAATTATTCTACCCCATTTCTATCCTTTCCACCCGAATCCATCTTTGTATTCCTTTGAATACACTTTGAATTCTCTTCATATCCAAGACCTTTTGATTTTGGATCATATCAAACTGATCTTGTTGTGTAAATTTGTATGGTAAAGTCCGGGACAACCTCTAAATAAATTTGCTTCCGATTGTGCGTATGAAATCTGCATCATTTGGTAGAAATCTACATCACCAGATGAAAAAACTTCTTCTTTAACTGTTAGGAGATGAAAGACCAACAAAAGGGGAGAAAAGAATTAAGGTTCAGTGGGGAATTGAAGTGGAAAATCGGTGGGAAGTTTGAAAATGAGGGGTAAGTTGGTTGAGGGAGAGAGTTGGAAATCGGGAAAAAGGAGGAGAAGAATGTAAAAGGGGCAAAGAGAGAGAGTTTGGGGAAAGAGCTGATGATTTCTGGAAGAGATTGGAGTCGTTTGTCAAGGTTGAGATGGTGTCCTTACTCCTTAACAACCATGGGTACTTACCATATTACCCCGTTCCTTCTTCTCAGATCATCAAACTATTGTAATTTTATTACAGGTGAGTAATCAAATTTATTTAAAAACAGGACCCTTAGTAATCTATCTAAGAACTAAGATCATTATGTTACTTTTGGCCATCAAATCATAATGGAAAGCTATTTTTCACACCCAAAACATGTGAGTTGGATCCAAAGATAATTTTGTCATTTTGTATTTAAAAAAGTATTTTTTTTAATAACTCTTCTTATACTTCCTAACTTGTATATGTTATACTAATATTATTACTAAATTTCAAAAATTAATTTACCTTTTGCATTTCAACTTCTAAATTTAAAATTATTTAAAAAACTAAAGAAAATGAAGAATAAAAATTCAAGTTGAAGTAAACATAAAAATTATCAGTTTACCATTTTAGACACAAAAAAAAAAAATCCTAAGGAATCAGTTAAGACAAGTGGTTTCTCCTTGACTCCTTGTAATACACATGTTAGTTACAAAATACAAATTTTGCTCATTTTATCTTAAAATGATTATTTTGTTCACTGTAATTATTATTTTTAATGGCTAAAGTATATAAGTAATTTTTATTGAATTTCATGACAAACATAAATGTTTGCACTCTTTAAGAGTGTAATTTTTTTTTTAATTTTAATAACTTAAAATTTGAAATATGAAGGGTAAATTAATTTTTGAAATTGAGTAATTATATTAGTATCAACATATACAAGCGACGAAGCATAAGAAGAATTTTAAAAAAATAAATAAAATAAACTTATTTTTTTAAAAAATACAAAATTGCCCCTGATCCAATTCACATATTTTGTATGAGAAAAATAGCTTTCCGTTATGATTTAACGGCCAAAAGTAACAGAATGACCTCAGATGTATTTGCAGCGTAGTAAAAGGTCCTATTTTATAAATAAATTTGATTGATAACTTGTGATGAAATTACACAATAGTTCGATAACTGTTTTGTGGTTCACTCTTTTTTTCTGCCTGTTTTTTTATTTTTTGAGAATTTAAATAGTATACATTCATTCTTACAAGCAAAACATACTTGTCTATGCAGTTTAGTATTGCTCCTCCTTCTATCCCAGGAAAAATAATTGACATTATATATTATAAAATTTTATTTTAGTTAGTTGACATTTCATTCTTAAAGACTTGTATATTTATGAGATTTTCCATATCTTTGGTCAGTGTTCATACTCTCTCTTTATTCTCATAACTCATGAAATGACTTTCTAGAGATATTAAGGCAAAATTTGTCCATGATTCATGAAGGCAACACATAGACCTTTATTTTTCATGAATCTTCTTTGATATTGGTCAATCTGGAAACATTTGAATGTAGATTTTTATCATTCAACAGAGAAAAATTGAGGTTCCTCCTCAAACTTTGAGCACGTTATCAATGTTACTCAAAAGTATTAAAGTTAGCTAATTTTGTCTGGATTGTTTAAACATTTAGCTAATTTTGTCCAATTGACAATAATGCCGTCGAACTTAACGGATTTTCGTTGGATTTTAATAAAATAATAAATTTAATCATGAAAACTCCTTTATAGTTTAAAAAATACAAAAATAATCCCCAAAAGATATAAATATAACAAAACAATCCTTTCTTTATTATTCTTATTATTAATATTTTTGCTTTTTCATTCCCATTATCTTTTTCTATTTTTTTTCAAAAAGAAAATAAAAGCACGCCATATAAAATTCAATGAGAAATTTTATTTATTTTAGACTCGATTGTACAAAGTAATTCATGCACATTTGTAGTTCATGCTTGCATTTGTATAAACATATTAATATATATATATATATATATATATATATATATATACACATTTGTAATACAACTTAGTAACCAGGGTATCTTTGTTTCTGATGGCGACGCGAGAAAAGGACCGTCAGTACTCAGAAAAACTAGTAATTACCTAATTCATTGTAAAACAACCGTTTTGTCTTTGTACAAACAGTTACCTAATTCATTGCTTCTTCTTGTCATTTCTTTTTTCTTTCTTTTTTTTTTATGAACATAACATGCAGCTATTTCATTTGATATGAATGTAGCAAATCGGTGTCATTAACCATTTATAGTACCAACCCAAATCCGTATTTCCTTTAGTCCTAATTATAAAACAACGATTTGAACTAAACTTAGTGAGTGTTTATGATTCACAAACCAAAGGGAGTATTAATTAATCAAAATATGTATACTTTTAGAAAAATTGTTACTTTTTTTTTTAATGCAGGAAACATTATTACCTTGTTCTTTTGTTGGTAATCATTTTAAGAAAAACAAAAAAAAAATCATTTTAAGAACATTTAATTCTATGTTTATTATTGGATAATAAATAATAAAAAAATTTCATAAACAAAAAACTTTACTCTAATTGTAGTAAACGTGCATTTAGATAATTTCTTGCATTTTATGGTTAGTTACTCCTGACTCTGATAGATTTTCGAATCTAATGTGTCAATTGAAACTGATTTTGACACGGATGGTTACCGAATTTTATTTAAGATGACAAACATGAGGCCTTTAATTTTTTTTCCTCAAAGATACAAACATCAATTTTATGTATCTTGCATCGGTTGTCATCTTAGAGATACTATTCAATGTTGTATGTGTTCTTCATTTGGTTAAACCTATAAAAGAAAATGCCACAAAGCCAATTTTATATGAAAATGAGCATTTTGTTAAAGCACTCTATATGGGTTATGGAGTTTCAAAGATACGAAGACATCCTACATTTTTAGAGGCAACTGAGAACTTAAAATGTCAAAAACTATTACCTTCAATTACCATGTGCAAGATAAATCATATCAAAATAGGACAAATGGATAAGCATGTCAAAATTATGTTAATAGTCAACTAACAATAGAAAACCAATTTCCATAAGTAAGAAGAGTAAGTAGTCTAAATGGACCTGGTGAAAGAAATCAACTCTAACTCTCAATACTTAGAAATTTTTAGTTTTTTCAACAACTTTCAATATGCCTAGTTT